GGCACAACCATTGTGTTTAGAGCACAAAGTTATTTTATAGTTGGGTTTAGTTCGTCCTTTATATCTCTAGCCATTCTTAATTGGTGCTGATTTTGAGTTATTCTGTATTGGATTCTTTAGGTAAGGAGATATGGAGTTTTATTCAACGAAGGTTTGTTACTACTGTGTTATGTAATTGGTGTCGTATCTTTTATCATTTGTAGGATAATTTTAGTAACATAGTCACAGTCTTAATAGATCTTCATGACTATGTTAACAATCTATCTTCAATATTATCTGATGCTACCAAATTCTCTAAAGAAACCAATTAAAAAGATGCAGCTGAGAAAACGAAACAGATGTTAACTGAAATTTTAAGATGAGTCTATTATCGGTTATGACCTCTATGAACGCCTTAGACCATCAAGTTCTGATTTACCGGGACCATACGGACTCTTAATGACTCATAAGAATGTTCCCTTGTCCTAAAATTTATACGAATGACCCTCATCATTTCTTTGCCAAGTGGTTTGCTGAAACTTTACAACCTGTTGGAAATTACATCAATAAATAAAACTCTTCATTCATCCGATTTTGTCGACTTATTTAGAAATATCAATATAAATGGTAGAAAAATGATCTCATTGGATCTCTTTACAAATTTTCTACTCACAAAAACTAAATTTCTTTACGTGGCTATACTGACAATAACAAATTGGATATTTGTATCCCAAAATATAATCTAAAAGAACTACGATGTACTCGCAATGTTCAATTCAGATCTAATAATTATTTCTACAGACAAATTGATGGAGTTGCTATTGGTTCACCATCAGACCCCTTCTCGATTGACCGCTTCATAGCATGTCTGGGAAATGCGGTACTCCAACCAATAATCTAGAAATGTTTTTGTATAGGTAATATGTGGATGACACTCATTATTTGTGAAGAAGATATGAACTTCAATGAAGTCTTGGATCGATTCAAGGATTGTCATCATTCAATTCACTTTACAAGCAGGGACGAACAAGAAATCTCATTTTCTTGATGTACCTTTCAAAAGGTCAGATGGTTCTTTACACAGATCGATATCCGAAAAACCGACTTGGATTGGTTAGTATATGAATTTTTATAGCTGGTTCCCATTGAGTAGAAACAGAAACTTTATTCTCCAGTACCAGGCGAATACGTTCTCAAGACACAGTGGATGGGAAATTATTTCAATTTCGTAGGAATATTATTTTCACTAATATCTCTTCAGATTCTACAATTGTATATCCAAATTAATAACCCGAAGATTGGCCGGGATAAGAAAATGTATATCATTTAAAATTATAGCATATGAGCTTAGGGTTGTTTGCAATATAAAATCAAATTAAACCGTTAATGTTGGGATGACCAATACGAAGTGTTAACTTGAACAAATTTATACGTTAAATGAAAGTGGAAGATCAATGACCAGAATAAATATAGTTAACATGAAATGAGAGAGATAATGTGATTACAATTACGTAATATGTAGAATAATATGAATTAGTAGATAGGAGTGGATGCCGTATAAATATCTCAAGAAGGTTAGCAGGACTAATAATAATGATAAGACGTGTGAATAAGATAAATCTAATATATGCAAGCGAACATTAGCCAAATTACTTCACCATATCATATAAATGACCGCTAACAAATGGGCCAGAAGTTGGCCAAGGTTATATGAACGGTTAAATATAATTCTTTTGAACGCAAAGCCCCGGCTATTTTATTCCAATAGATAGATTCAGCTATCTGAAGGATTTCCAGTCTGATGGATTTAGGCAGATTGCTGTCTACAAGATATACTGTTGTGAATGATTGCTCCATGTTGGCTGTATATCCCGTTTGTATTAAATGAGTTAAAATCGAGTTGTTAAAAGTTTTAACTATACCTTTGATTAACCACAATGGGGGGGGGTACTCGCGAGCCCGAAAATACAAATTCCTAAAGCACCTGCCAATATAGCTTGCTTTACAATAGTTCGATTGATAGATACAGAAAGAAGTGGCTAGTCTAGGTAAATTATCTTCCAATCTCAGAGTGATTATCAAATTTGTAGAAAACAACAATAGCAGTTACCTGCATTAAAAGTTCTTTGGATTGTTCTGTGCAACTTTAGTATTAGTATTTCGCTGGATGCATTGCCTCTAAATTGTAAACGCATAGACAGAGGCTTTTTTATGTCATGCCTTCCTTATGTTTTCTTTTCTTGGCTAAATTTTTATTTGTAAATTTCGCAGGATATCGATTTTCTTTCAGGATAGTACTCAGAGCCTTTGTTTTCTTACCAACTGCAACGGATTTCAATATCCCTGAATAAAAACTTCTATTCAGCTAAGCTCTATATTGTCTTCTCAAACCGTTCTACCATTCACAGATATGTTAAGGATAAGCTCCCACTTCGGACAGTATCGATGTGCATCTATAAATTTACTTGCTCTTGAGGAGCACGTAAAATTGACCGTAAAAGCGACCACTTTCCAAACGCATCTCAAAACATTACTCGGCGTCATGATATATATCACAAAGAATTTGTCTACAGTCGTTTACATTTAAGCAGATAATAAGGTATTACAAAAAAGTATCATTTGAAATTGTTGGGAGGATACCGATGTGTTAGGTGGCTTCCTTATGCTGTTAGCGATAAGGCTTTATGAATGCCCACAATACAGTAAGTCATAAAGTGTTTAAAACTGATTCAGTTTACCGATTAGAAGAACCGCTGAATATTTTTAGAACTTAAACTCATGAGCGATAGCATTGTCCATCAGAAAACATATTTTATTGTTTATCCTAGGTCCCCTAACTTTTCCACATGTCAATGAATTGACAGAACTGATTAGGTCGACTTTATTTGAGCTGATAGTGTAATCTAAAAGAATTAGAAAGACAGTTCCTAAATGAATCCCGAGAAATACGTTACAGCAAGAGCATAATGGTGCAAATTGGTCACAACAGCAGACGTAACTGTAACCGTAAGTCGCAGGAAAATATTGCAACTTCTTCACAGCTGAAGTGAATTACATCTATTTCTCTTAAGTCCGAAACGCGAGACTATCTAGAAAGCATTTGATATATCGAATGATGACTCGGAAACCAACATGTTTTTGTTCGATCTAAGACTAATAATCTCAGAGTTTAAAGATGACGATCAAACCAACTAACACTAGAATTATGCTCAGACCTTTGTTCTAGCATCTGGAAGGGGTGCTTTGCAAACAGTTTTGATCAAATGTAAATTGTGTCCTCCAATGTAAAATTCCACGTCCAACACATACAACAAACTACTGCTCAGCATAACCGCATCTCCATCAGTAAAAGATAATCTCGCCTACACCATAGGGTAATGCGACAACAAACTTGATAATTTAAAGCAATTAGTCCCTTTGATAAATTTCGATAATGCAATGAGAAGATGAAGATTATCAGAACTATGTGATATATTAGCGCAATACATTTCGAACAATCTGATCACACATATACTTGTTAAGAACATTTATATATAAAAATAAAAGGTCAACTAGACTGGAAATAGGGGTACGAATAGACAAGGATAATAATGATAAAATAATGTGAAAACAATTTGACACCTAATCACTCTGGCTAATAAGCATATATTACCAGGGTAGGTTTAAAGAGAGAACAAACTGTTTTTGAATACACAAAGGGGGGTTGAATCTGTTATCAACAAAACGTATTGTGCTGCGAAAGTCATAATCAAGGAAAGAACGAGGTCCATGCTTCATTCAAAACCTAGACGAAATGAAAACGATTGTGTCACATCCCACTGTGTTTACCAATTTAAATGTGTGTGTGGTCACACATACATAGGGAGGAGCAATCGTGATCTGAAAATTAGGGTGGGTGAACATGTACCAAAATGGTTGCAAAAACAAATACAGTCGAATGACCCAATAAGAGTAGAGGATAAACATCCATCATCCTCTATTGCTAAACATATAATCGAAACAGGTCATAAGATTGATTGAACTCGGCTTTTGTGGTGTTGTTTAAAAGTGTAAAAGGGCGTATACTAAGGTTTGTTGAAGCCTTAGCCATACGAAAATTCAACCCCCCTTTGTGTATTCAAAAACAGTTTGTTCTCTCTTTAAACCTACCCTGGTAATATATGCTTATTATCCAGAGTGATTAGGTGTCAAATTGTTTTCACATTATTTTATCATTATTATCCTTGTCTATTCTTACCCCTATTTCCAGTCTAGTTGACCTTTTATTTTTATATATAAATGTTCTTAACAAGTATATGTGTGATCAGATTGTTCGAAATGTATTGCGCTAATATATCACATAGTTCTGATAATCTTCGTCTTCTCATTGCATTATCGAAACTTGATAATGCTACAATTCGAAAGTTAGTTTACCAGTCTTAGCTACTATACTATCGTTTATTAGATCTCAAACAAATGTTGACTGGTCTTAATGGAGCCAATAATTATTGGCTTCACGCGGGAATAGTACGATTAATGCACATCAAACAGATATTAATTACATTATAAATAAAACTATGAAATCACTAGCATTTATTATTAGCATAATATTCATTGCATTCATCTAGATGTGTTAATTATTCTATCACATACGCTTGGGGAATAAATTGGCGGGTTCGTCAGAATTATAAAAAATGATCTTAGTTTTCTGATCGCAAACCAGCTAAGTCAAGAATAGTACGACATAAGCTAGTGTACATGAATGAGTCACCACGAATACGTTTCATCTTTATTCCAAGCATTCGATCATGCTGGTCACGAGAATTTGAAGGCAGACGGGAGGAACCTTTAGAAGAAGTCGATGTATTGGTAGTCATCCCAGGATGGTTTGAAATTTCACTTGAATGCGCAGGAACCATGGGGGCTGCTGGTGACGTTGACCTTAAAGTCATTCGACGCCGAACTGAAGCTTCGACTGCCCTGGCTGACACATAAACCAGTTCCAGCTCGAATGACAATACGGTTTTCCCCCAATCATTGGCGAAAACGCACAGGAAGCCAGATCTACTCGGAATAGAAAAAGATATTGGATTTATAATATTCAGCTTTATAAATGAATATCTTTGTGAAACTGACTATAGAAAAAATGTTGTTTGAATGCGGATCTACAATTCCAATAGCCTGCGAAAGAAAAACTTACTATGTTCGCCAGTACAGAAGGTATACTGGAAGGCAAATATAAGACTGATATAATGAAATCATGAAAACACAGTGATACAGTAATACTTCACTATATTTTTACATTCTTATAAAATTCATTATTTTTCAATAGCCTAAATTTAACACTCTGCAACTAATAACAACTCATAATCATTCTTAGTCTTAAAAGTAGAAAGTTAATTAATGATTTAACTTTTAGATCGCAAGTTTAATGATTTTGCCAGAAAATATTTAGCATTATGATTACGGATAATATTAGTGATTCAATATGGGAAGATATTTAGAAAATTTCGAGAATTCGGCTATGCAAGCAGTACGTTTATAAAGTTATCAATTCTAAAGAAGTTACATTAAATAATAAATAATAAATTTCAACCAATATAGTCTTTCTTAGAGCAAACTAACAACTTCTAAAATAAGAAGAGATTTTTAACTGAGTCAACAAAACGAATGACACAAAAATTCAACAAATGTTTTGGGACAAACCCTTTAAGAGTAAAGCGTATGGACTGTTGCTTTAACGCTGCAGTTATTTGATCAAATACCTGACCAGGACTCAAGTCGTTTCGTACAATTAACACATTGTTTAAATGACGCGTTTTTCGTAACCGATCTACAACAAGCCGGCCATCTGGCACGACGTTTTTTGGAGTAAGAGCTTTTCGTAGACGCCCGAAATTGCGCCAACCACTAACTTCAGGGACACGACTTGAACTTGTTCCACATTCATCAGCTGAACTTTGGGACTGTGAGAAATCATCACCAACGACGCCAGGACTTGAGTGGAGAGATGCTATTTCATGCTGTAATTGCGATGACAACGATGAGTAAGCGGTAGATAAGTTATCCTCACTAGTAGCTTCAGTTACCGAAATAGGACGTCTTCTATATAAATGAAAACAGAAAATGTTTACAATTTAAATTTGATGAAGTCATTGAAATTCTATTTTTTCTCTCATGAAAATCTACAACGGCAACCAAAAACTTTAAAAGAAATATACAAATAAATAACTGACAAAGACGGTAATCCGCACTTTATTAGATGGACTGAAATTAGTTTAAATAATCACAAAAAAGTTTAATACAACTGGAAGGATATACTCATAAAAGATTTTCGGCTGCAACTGAACAAATATAGTAACCAGATCTCATAAGTGAAGCTGTCGATAGTGAGGCAAGTATAAAAATAAGACATGAATATGCTCCAGATAGGTAAAATGATGGTAAAGTGGCCCAATCATAAAACGACAAATAATAAGTCCAAGGGATGGCGTTCATCTGTAAGGGATGAGAAATAAACGCAAACCTTTAAGCCACTGTTTCTTATATTGTAATGGACCCAATTACATAAGATGTGGAAGATAATTTTGTGACATTCCCGAACTTAAAATTATCCATCCAAAGGTGTATACGAATTTTTTTAGCGTAAAAGATCAGAACTTTATAAATAATTAGAACTTATTGGTGAAAACACGAAGAGGTTGAACGTGGAATTCAAGATCTCAGATCAAATATTCGGATACCAAAAAACTAAGTCTATCATATTTAGCGGCTGGTCATTGGCAAGTTTTGATGTGCGAAAGTCGTTCCTAGACGTCTATTTTATCGAAAGCTTCAATAAACAAAACTTCAAAAAGTCTGCTAACTTACTTTTCACTCAATTGTGCGTTGTGAAAATCATGCGTCAAATTAATGAGCTGAGAGTCAACGGAACGACTGGGAGATAAACCAGGATGATCGGTAATTTTACCTAAAAAATTGATCAATCTTTAAATGAAGTTAAAATTTAACGGCGGCAAAACAGATACCATTTTATTGTGTTCAATATCTGAAAGGTACGTGTTAAATCACATTATAACAATAAATATTAATTCGTCAGAAATATCGAAGTTATCCAATTTTAGGATAACTACAATGGAAAACAAAATTTGCACTGGTGAAAAAAACACTTTATCTAGGGGTGGGAACCGCAAAAATGGGATTATTAGAATGTTATGATTGATATTCTTTAAAAGTTCAGAGCGAGACTTCAACAATAAAATCGCGAAGCGACGTTTTTTTCTAAATAAGGCTTGACAACAAATGTGCATCAGCCCAAGTTGCCGTATTACATCGGTATAAATAAATGAAAAATAGGAAAAATCGAAATTGTTAGAAAGATTAGGTAACGAAGAATACATTTTGAAAAGATAAATTTGAGGAATAAACAGTGTGAAATAATATTAAAGCTTGAGACTTAAAGGAAGATAAAGTGCGAGCGTATCTTCAATAATGTGGTCGATTTTGAGGCATTTTATTTAACATACTTGCGGATCCCCACTAGTTTTTGTCTGACTACTGGAACTTGAGTAGATAAATATTTATGATATACATACATAAGTAACCATATTTATTCTGATATTGATAGGATATTCGCTTGTTCTAACAACTCAATTATTTGTCATCAATATGAGCTGGTTATATACTTGTTAGGTTGTAGAAAATGGACATGAGTGATATTTTTTCGAAGATTCTTTGATAAAGCTCAAACCCATTTGAACTAGTCTAAATGCACGTAAAATTTTTTATATATCTTTGAGGTTTAATATTTATATTTAGATATTCATCTTGTGTTGCTGTATTGTTCAAGATAGGCTGTTAACTGGTAAATGTTACACGAAAAAAATACTGATGAGTACTTACAGCACATGATAATTAACAGTAAAAACAAAACTACCTCTAGATTGAAGGTTCACTTTATTCACTGGAACCATATCAGTGCAAAATAACTGAGGAGGACAATTTTCGATTTCACCTTTAGTATGACCAGTTCTGTGTTTATTTTGAGTTGAAAAAATATCATGTTTAGATGGAGAGAAAGATGAATTGAGCTTGGCACTTTTTTCAGCCTGAATTGGTATCAAGTAAAAACAGCGATTCCAATATGATGTTGCAAGGTAAAAAACAAAACATTAAAGTATAGTGGGTTTATAGCTATAATCAATGCAGTCGACAGCAGTAATCAAATATGAAGCAAATTATTTAATAATCAAATATTTCCAAACATTATGAGCTAACACTTAACACCAAACAACCAATCGAAGTACCGGATTCAGAATAGGCTGTATGATAAGCGGCCTGATGAATATTTAATATAATAAGCCAAAGAAAATATATTTCATTGACATAGGACTAGTTACGTTATGTACAGTCACTATAGACACATAACATTATTGCATTCATATTATCACTATTTCTAACAAACTGACGAAGAATCGTGAAAGGATTGTTAATCTTTATAGCTATTTTTCACATGATTATCAATGCTGATTAGCTTAGACGAATATAAACTGATTCTATAGCATTATACTTAGTTAAAAGTGTTCTTTGATGTTTACCAAAACAAAGACTTATTATTAATTGGGACTAACCGTTAACTGATAATAATGCATACAAATAGCCCAGCAAAATCTAAATCATCTGTCGTAGAAAATAATTTATTACAAAATGTTATCATATAACTCTGTATACTTTCATTGAGATTGAAAAACAATAATTATGGGGGATGCTCATAAGTTTGAAAAAAACGAGTAAACCTATAAGCCAGTAAATAGGAAGCGAATACTTCAAATAAAACAACATATCATTAAAACAGTAAGTGTAAGTCCAAAACTTTAATTTATTTTGATTAGTAATAGCGGACTTTCAAATTAGAATCAGTCAAACATCATCAGATGTGTGCTAACCCAAGTCATCATATCGCTATATATATATCAAAAGATATTATTCCTAATGTTAACCGAATCGATAAAATTATAAATTAATTATAACATTTATTTTACCAATACAACAGCTGCTTTACTCTAATAATCAAAGTATGTAACCTAGTCGAGACTAAGCATAAATTTTACAGGTTTTTTAGAAAAGATAGATGAGACTAACAAAAAAAGGGATGCACGTTAAGGTCGCTTGAACTTACCCTTTTTTATTAATTCAGGACTGTTAGAAATGCCTGAACAATGTTATTTTTGCTTAGTAATTTGAATACTCACGTTTATCCGGCCGGAATTCTATTTTGAATCAGAAGTCTACATTTTTTGCGATGACCGATGCTTTACCCTCATTAGCTCCTTTATCTAGTTATGTTATTGTGTTTCGTGTTTTCTCTAACTTATCAGGTACATGGGTTTGATGCGCACTCTAAATATGAAGGCTTATGACACTGCATAGTCGTTCAAACTGAAGTAGGTGGTGTGGAGTTCAAATCAGGGACGTGATGGCTGAAAGTTGAACACCTTGACCAATTAGCCAATGATCCACGTATAACCAATGTAAATAAGCGATTATACACATAGATGAGTTGTACTATAATCTTAACTTTTTTGTCAGGGTAAACGCTCTCTTATAAACGAAAAGCCTTCATTTTTTACTGTGTCCCTAGTTTAAAGATGGTTGTGTAATTATAATTACTTTATCTTAGGCTTACATAATCCGAAGTTACTTACTTACTTACGCCTATTACCACTCATGGAGGAGCATAGGCCGCTCACCAGCATTCTCCATCCAACTCCGAAGTTGGTATTTAATAATATTCAATAATCACCTGAGAGTATGGAATGCGATTTGAAAATCAACTGTCTTAACATATGGTGTAAGCTTTAATCGCGCTTCACTTACCGCGACCACGGCAACCAGACACATGTGGAGGTAATGTGGTTGACCATCTGTATTTTTAATTTTATAGTTTACTGATGTTTTCGAACTCTTCCCAGCAGAAGGACAAAGTATATCAAATGTAAAGACAAATGCTAGGATATAATCCGAATAAGAATTAATTTAGATAAACAAATGATATAAACCAAAAACAGTTAGAGGACGAACTTCGATAAGTAAATCAGAGGTACTGGATTCATCAATAAAAGCAGCTTGCATTAAGTTGCCAGATCTAACATGCAAAGGGGCTCCGGGTACCGATGATGGGACAGTCAGGTTTCCACGGTGTAGTGGGGTACTACTTGGGGCTGAAGCCGAAAATTTTTCATCTCGAACTTGACGACAAGAAAATGTATGAAGCTTTTTGGATGGTACTGCACTAGGAGGTGGATTATTGCGGCGTTGAAGTCGGATAAACACATCCTCCTCCTCCAAAACTGATTCCATTATCATATAAGTGGCCATAATATAATCATACGGACGCTGTTGAAATCGAAAAGATAGGCATTCTAGTAATGAAAGAGTAACTGATAAATCATTTATTATTATAGAACGAATAGGTTAATGAACAGAATGTGAAGGTTATCGAAGGTTTATGTGTGAATATTTCCCAGTTTGGAAATTTTCAGTACTTTCCACTTACAGTTCAACATAGGGTCGAAACCATGAAGCTCTGGTCTCGTAGTGTGATTCGTACCATTCACACAATCAACGGAAGTCGAAGCATTTTTATTTCACAATTTTATTGTATTCGGGATATAATGTGAACATTATGTACTGTAATCAGTGTTACTTAATATGGATCCGACTCGATTACCTACACATATCACGACCTCCCACTTGAAATACTAGGAATCAATTTCGAAAACATAATTAATGAATTAGATGGTTTGCACTGACGACTACAGCTATCATATGTATTATGAATCAAGAATAGGTACAGAACCCAATTTTAACACTCCAAAAACTACTAGTTTAGTTTATCTAAAATCGTTTTTTCGACGTATGCATTGATTAGATTTTAAACTACTCTAATAGGTATTTGAAAAAACAACAACACATTATTGAATTAATCGCATACAATGGTATATCATATCATTCAAAAGTAGACAGGTGAGCTTTGAATCCTGGAGTCCGAATTACGGAGTGATGGTTTAACTAATAGTTTATACCTGTGAAGTAACAGTTTGAATGACACGAAGTTATAGCTCATCATAACACATTAATTCGCACTTTTGCAAATCGATACTGCTAAAACTGTGATAAAATGTCTCCATGCATTCAAGTACATTCAATATATCGAAACCATTCACTGAAAAGACATGCCTTGTTTAACAACAGTCAGTTATAGATAAAATAGAACATGGTATATGTGTAAATCAACCTAAACTGCCACACTTCACATCACCGCAGATAGAGATTACAGTAACAAGATGAAATTAGAAGAGGAATCACAATAACTGTGGTGGAAAGTTAAAAGTAATAAACAGCATTCAAAAGAAACGAATAAGATTGAAAATGGAGAGTATGGAATGCATTACACATAGTTTATAAGAGAGCAGTGAATTGAACGAACAAAGATGTACCTTAGCCGCTATATTTTCATTTGGTTACGCATGACTAATCCAAATGTGTTGAAATAGAATTGTGATGGAGAAAAAGAACACACAATTATTTCAAAGTTGTTTTATGAAAATGTTTATACCTTTGTAGATTTTTTAAATACAACTTTTAAGAAAAATCAAATCTAAGAAGCATGAAGAAAGGAGAAACAAATATTGGAAATAGTGGTTAAGGCGTTTGACTTTTAGCCAATAAGTCCCAGATTTGAACCGCACTCCATCTACTTCGGCAAGGATAACTGGGCAGTATCACTAACCCTCATAAACAAGTCACTAATCAATGAATGAATCAATTTATTACTAAAATGGGTTTTTTATTTAATCGATATGTATTACAGCTTTCAAGTGCGGCAAAACCCTTAGTGCTAGTTGTCCGTTAAAGCAACAGTTCTTGTGCTTTATAGCTGCTGCAAAAGTAAACGGAAAAATAAAATCTAGGGGTACTTAGCACATTGGTGCTACCTTAAATTATCAATAGTACCAGGTTATAAGATTATATTGATCAATCAATAGATCAGTAAAGGAAGCCAACCACTGAATATTAAATTAATATTTTTAACATAAAGACAAAGACTAGTTTGAGAGTAAACTAGTACTGAACATACGGTTTTTCTCATTCGGAACTAATAATAACACATTAGTGGTTTACCTTAACAAATTAAGTGAATAAAACATAATTAATTGCTTAAATAACGCAAAACAGCATAATAAAAACATAATTCCACCCTGAATTATCTTAATACTAACTAAACTGTATTGAACAGAAATTTCAGTATTACATTATAGCTTTGATAAATCTAACTACAGAGATCCGAAGATGATTTAAAGTTGCATAGGTAGAATAAAAAGTGTAAACGTCGATAAATAGAATTAATTTTCAGTTAAATGTATTACTCCGAAAACAACAATAAAACGACTAACTGGTTCAATCTGTAATGGGTAATTTAAATCCAATAGACTCAATCATATACAACATAGAACCTGACACATATGTGTGTCAGTTGAAGTTGCTTCATCAAACTAGCACAGCGAGATAAAATTATCTAGACAGATCTCAGAGTGATGGGAGCAGTCAGTCAGTCAGTCACAACGTAGAACTTCGTACGTATGTACATCAGTTCGAGTTGCCATACCACATTAGCACAGAGATGCAGTTGTCGATTCAAATCCCATAGTGGTAGAAGTAGTAGGAGTATAATCAGAAATCCAAAAGATTAGGGTTTGAAGAAATTATTGAAGGAGTATAGTACAGTGAAATAAATTTGGAAAGAGAAAAAGATAAAGACATGAGGAATTCAGATTAGAATTTGGTAGAACACAAAGAGTGGATGCATCTTCGCCATTGCAAACGATTTTGAGCCATGTCATTCAAGGTCTCTAACCATCGGTTGCTGTCATCTCGCGAATCCCAACCAGGTAGTCTACACCTACCAACATGGCCCAGTCCACTTGTCAGTGACTTCATTGATTTGTGCCACGTTTTGGTCTGGCCACCCCTAGCTTTCTTCCAACCTACTCCTACACCATGAAACATTGCACGTCGGGGCAGTCGGTGGTCGGGCATACGTAACACATGTCCCAGCCATCTCAACTGATGAAGTTTCACTACTTCATCAATCGATTTGCCATCCCTACCTAGTACTCGTTTCCTAACAACAGTAACAGTATTAGTAGTAGTAAAAAAGATTAGGTATAGAGAACAAAGGTATAAGGTCATTTCGTGATTCAGAAACCATGGGAAGGTAAAACGAAATTCAATAGGGAAGGATAACCAGGACAATATCTATACTGGCATCGACAAAGTGTGCTGCTAGTCTTTCGGAGAGTCAATTATTGGTGAGGAATTTACCGAGAAACTTAAAGTAATTGACAAATTCAGAAAGGAACAAACAGCGTCCGTACTTTTTATCTATTCAAATAATGAAGTATCAAAAACTATAAACGTGAAATATCCCAAACATTATCAACACTTTTGAATCCTTAATAAACTGATGATGCACATTATATTACTCCCAAGGAAGTGAACGTAGTATTTAAAAGTACAACTAAGACTGTTGATAATTACTTTAAAGTAAGTGATTTTCATCTCACATAAGTATCTTCAACTACCACTGGAACTGTAAGTTAAAAAACTGTCATGATTAAAACCTACGAAGACATACGGAAACAGACAAAAAATACATCCAACAATTACTTTTTGCAACATCCGAGCAAGCTCCACTTTTGGAATCCGAGTGTATGCAGTGATTTCAGCGACAATTTGCATGTTGAGAGGCGATAACTACAGAAGAAAAATCAAGTTGATAATTACTGAGTATTAACCAAGCCTATCGTGACAAGTGGAAACATGAAAGTGTGAAATGCATATGCAAAATTCGTAAAAGAGTATTTTCCATGGTGGTCTAGCTTCAATTGACTCACGTTTCAACTATGATAATTACTATGATAATCTCCACAAAACCCCATCTGATATTGAACCATATTCTTCATGTATATTCTTTCTCACTGTCATTGCTACTACGACAATTTCGACTCCTTTACCATTTATTTTTTAAAATTTCGTGGTTTTAGTGTGAAATGCCAAATTGGGTTGAGGCAAGTGAATTAGGATCCAGGTTATGACTGGGTACTCATTAATCCCCATTTCAATTAATAACCTGAATATACTTTAAGATGAATTATTAACACGTACTGAATTTCTAGTACATCTTTGATGCTGATGGGTCAGCGCAAATTTTGTTGTTTCACTGTAAAATCTATTAAAAACTGATTAGCTTTGTTTTCTATTGCACCTGGGTAAACAAGCATTTTGATCTGATAGACCAATTCACAAAGTACAGGCTTAATTATTCCATTCTGAATCATATTTTGATTTGAAGATTAGTATTATCATTCTAGTACTTAGACCGGATTAGATGGGGCAGGACATCAACTTACACTGCATGGCTAAAACAAGTGGCTTTGAGGTTGGAAGACTCGGCCTTCAACTAATAGGTTACAGATTCGAAGGTAACTAAACTACGGTTTAGGTAGTCGTCCAATAACCTTCAAATAAGGTGTCTCTGAAAACCAAGTAAATCACACCCATGCTTTGTTAGTGCATGTCTAATAAACAATATGATTTTCCGAGTTATATACTTTGTCCGGGTGAACAATTACTTATTAATGAAATGACAAAGAAATATGCAGTCAATAGTAACTTCCATTTTATTTTATTACTGCTGTGTAACTTCCAAGAACGGTCTAAACAATTAGCGCTGAACCTCCAGATAGGGAGGCTAGTTACCATACACGATATATCTCCACAATATTTTAAAAGCAACAAAATATTTCCAAATTTCTTAACGGCTAGGTAAAGATCATGCGGACTATATTTTAAGAATTTAGAACAAAACTATTAAGGCTTAAGTTACCACTTCGGAGTACCACAAAAATGAGGAAATTAGCAAAGTGAGAAAACCAATGGATGTGGAGTGAATGCACGTGAACCATGTCACAAAGTCTCCAATCATATTACGCCAGGCATTGTTATGAAGTTTCTAATAACTAGTGAGAGGATTTTCGGTCATAAAAATCAATAAATAAAAGCCTAATCGACAGATGAAAGTAATAGCATGTGAGTGAATGACAGCTACTCACGAGACAGTATTAATGACTTAAGCCCTCGGATAATTGAAAATCAAAGACAAGACCACAAAAAGCAAATGTCCAGGGCTTTAACTAGGTTGGTGGATACGGAGGATTCACCTAGGTGATTTGGAAAACCCTGATTCCAAACCAATGGTGCACATGGACTTCAGTATCCTAAGGAAACAAATGGCATATGAATCTATTGTTGGTCACTGGCTACCATGGGACTACATCTCCGTGGTACATATACTAAAATTGGAACGATACAGAGAAGATTAGCATGGCCCCTGCGCAAGGATGACACGCGGAATCGTGAAGCGTTCCATATTTTTTAGCCCCCAAATGCCCTGATACGGCCGAGAGTGGGGAGAGTCCGCTCTCCCTCTCCAAATGCTCTCACATGACCATGCGAATATATAGCCTCTGACAGGGAAGTCTTACCCACTGCCTTCTCGTGGCATTACTGTTGTTTACGAAATTGAGAGGACAAAAAGCGAATGACCGACGCTTTAACCGGGTTGGTGGATACGGAAAGTTCACCTTGGGGAGTTGGAAAACCCTGGTTCCAAACCAACGGTGCACATGGGCTCCAGTACCCTGAGGGAACAAATGGCGTATGAATCAACTGTTGGTCACCGGCTACCATGAGGCTGCATCTCCTCACGATGATCCACTGCCTTGTGAATCAGACCTTTAGGTCAAAGGCTCCGGGTGTGGCCCCCTAAGGAAACCACCTGCTTTGGTCTGGGCAACTGGGTAGTATCATAGCCCTCACACAAATCGAATGAGATTTGTGAGGCGCATATGTATCTGGTGCTTCCTTGTACCATTATTTATGTGTTTAAATAATAATAACAGATACAAACAGCTCCATTTTATTGTCTCTGGTTACAGCACTGAATAACCAAGAAGTGAAAAAACACTACTACGTTGATTCGAACAGTATAATACATTTATTTCGTACAACCATAAACATTTAATTTTAGTCGGACTTATTTGCTGTTCTCTCAGTCAGCTACAACGTAGGACCAGGCACACATATGCATCGGTCCAAGTTGCCATACCTCATTAGCATAACAAGATGAACACCGGATTCATAGAAGTAGTTACTTCAATAGTAGTAATATGTAGAAAAACGTTGCGTATAAGGATATAGTACAGGAAGAAAGATACGGAGCAATTTTAATCTCATTGTTTAAGGGAAAACAAAGAGTGTATACACCTACGCCATTGTGATCGATTCTGAGCCACGTCATACAGAGTCTCCAAACATTGGTTACGATAGTCACGCGGACCCCAACCAAGTAGTTTGCATCTACCAACATTGCTCAGACTAAAAGTTAGTGACTTCAAACACTGATGCCACATTTTGGTTTGGCCGCCCCTAACTCTCATCCAACCATCCCCAATACTAGTCAGCATAGCGCGTCGTGGTAATCGGTGATCAGGCATACGTAACACGTGACCCAACCATCTAAGTCGATGGAGATTTATGATCTCATCAACTGATTTGCCATCATTCAGTAATAAGTTGTTGATGCGTTCGACCACTTAACTCCCTATCCTTAGTTCAGGTGTTGACTTAAGCCAGTCCTGAAGCAACAATTTACATTTAGAGGTGGAGAAGCACATTCCAAACAACATGGCATTGTTGCTCAGTGCTACTAAAATACTCTGAATTTTATCAGCGTCTTCACCAAACAGGACTATGTCATCTGCGTATTCTAAGTCGATAAGTGGACCTCCTGGTGGGAGATCAATTCCTGTAAATTCAGTCGAAGAGAGTGTTATTTCCAACAACAGGTCTATAATGAAGTTAAACAAAAATGGGGATAGTGGACAGCCTTGTCGGACACCACTTGAGGTTGTAAAATCATATGACAGTTCGCCATAAGCTCTCACTCGACTGGTAGTGTTCGAGTAAAGAGCCTTCACAAGGTTTATGTACTTCTGAGGTACACCTTTCAATGACAGACACTGCCACAGAACCTCTCGGTCTACAGAGTCAAATGCTGCTTTCAAGTCAAGAAAAACTATCATTGTCGGACGCCGATAAGCGTGTCTGTGCTCTAAAACTTGACGAATGGTGAATATGTGGTCGATACAGCCACGACCAGGTCTGAAGCCAGTCTGATTTTCTCGTGTTTGCAGTTCACGGGTCTTAGTTAGGCGCCCGATAATTATTAAGGCTAGTATTTTAGATGCTATGTTGGTCAGACTAATCCCTCTATGGTTATCGCAGGATGATTTTGACCCCTTTTTATATATTGGGACAATCAGTGATTGTGACCAGTCGGATGGGATTACATCCGTCTCCCAGATTTTAGCCAGAATATTAGTCAACCTAATCGCTAAAATCGGACCACCATATTTAAAGACCTCTGGAGCCAATCCATCTGGACCAGCTGCTCTTCCTCGTTTCAGATTACTTATAGCCTTTTGAACTTCAAGTAGGGTCGGGGGGCCTACTTCAATGTTCCATTCAGGTTTTCTAGGAATAATGGGTAGTTGTGCAGTAGCTGAAGGCCAGCTAAACTGCTCCTTAAAGTGTTCCGCCCATCGTTCTAAACGTTTGGGTTGAGAGCAGATAAGGGTTCCGTCTTTTTCGGAGATTGTCTCACTTACACTTGACTTCTTAATTCCGGTTTTTTATTAGTCTGAAGAGCTGTCTTGTGTTACCTATAGCCGCTTCCTTTTCCATCTCTTTTGCTTTCGTTGCCCACCACTGCTCACGATCGTTCCTTAGACTTTTGATTAACCAAGATCTGATTCGTTAACACTCTTCATTGTGTTCAGAGTTTACGAGAGTCTATCAGTGCAATAGACTTAGTAGAAATCCATTGGTTTTTCGTAACCCTTTGGTTGAAATCACTGATAGATGTTACTGCTGTTTCCACAATTGTTCATATACGTGTCCAAGCAGCATCTGGGTCAGCCTCATTTTCATAACTACCTAAGTGTGATCTCAGTTGTTCCTGAAACCTACTTTTAGCTTTCTCATCACTGAGTTCAACTGTAATAGGTCTTCTAAAATGTCGTTTTTCTGCGTCCAGTGAGGCGCAAGCAAATGCCTGCTCCTATTAAAGCATGATCGGAGTCCAAACAGGTATTCCAGAACGAGAGACAGTCTTCTATCGAGCCTCTCCAACGATGAATCATGACAATATGGTCTATTTGAGTCCATCGTTGGTTTGGTGCAGGTGGTCACCATGTTAGACGATGTCCCTCTTTATGCTAAAAATAAACGACTGTCTGAGCACAGTTGCAACAGACGATCACCATTATCTATTCGCTGAGCCGGAAAACTAAAATATCTGCCTAAATGTCTTTCTCTTTGGTTTAAGCTACTTACTTGGGCATTAAAGCCACCTGCTACGAGTACTATGTTTGAATGTCTAGCCTTCTGAAGAAGTTTAGTAAGTTTTCTGTAAATGTCATCTTTTACTTCATCAGGGCTGTGGTCAGCGGGAGAGTAAGCGAAAACGACAGAAAGGCAACGATGTGTATCGCTATCCTTCCGAGATTTTACGGAGCCGTTCAACCGAACAGCATATAGGCGACTGTTCTAATAATGCTTGTTCTGCTCTTGTACTTAGTGCTATACCTACAACTGCCAGTCCACGAGAACTAGTCATCCGGTCACCAGATAAACAGAGGGTGTATCTCGTCGGCTCCCTGTTTTGGCGAAGTGAAGTTAAGTGAATGACCACACTAGGATCCTGTATGCGTGTTTCGGAGACAGCATACATCAATGGTACGAGATTCTAGGGTTTTAGCTAAGGAGGCCTGTTGACCGATTTGGCATAGGGTAAGTATGTTGAAGGCTCCAATGTGTAGTTTGGAGCGAGGTTTAAGTAGACCTGGGACAGCGTTTCGCGCACTGGAATCGTTGGCCATGGTGACACTTGAGGAGGAAACCGGAACAGGAAGTTTAGTGTTGAAAGTCAAGGTAGAAGGAATAGTAGTAATTGAAGGAGATTGATTATGAATACGGTGGTCTTGAGTGCTGTTAGGGGTATGAGGGCAGTTATCACTTCCCGGTTGCCCACACCGTGGAAGGGTTCTCCTGGGGGTACCTGAAAAGGAAATTGGAATAGAGGTGGTCTTAGTGACCTGAGAGCGTGACCGCAGTGCCCAAGGGACAACTGCTTGAGGTCGGTCACACACGACCTTTTTGTGGGTAGTTGTGTTAGCTCCGTTCTTCAAAAAAAACCTTACCGCCGGAGACGGATATCCGTGGGATAAGGCAAGGTGTGCATTTTTAGGGCCGACCTTTTCTAACCCCACCCCTCCTTGTGGGAAGGCAGCATCGCTGTCATGCTGGTTGTCTGAAGGAAACACCTTACTGCCGTCACACCTCTGTACAGTCGACAGTACGACTTCGCCTTCGGACCTTGGGTTTGCTGCTTTTAGTCTCACCGCTCTTCAACCGACCTGTCTGGCATGGTAGGACCTCGAGGAACGATTGTTCCAGCCAGCATAGCTCGATTGCTTCATCACGATAGGCAAGCCCGACCACCACGTCCAGGTAGCAGCAACGGTCGAGATTCAAAGACTAATATATGAACGAAGAAAATTCGTTTTAAGAAATCCTCCTCAGGTTCTACAGTTATATCCAAATTAATAGTCCTAAATAATAATGCCATGACTTTAAAAGAGACAGTAAACCTGTCTGCTGCAATAACACCTTATAGGTACAAAAATGCACTGGTAATAGTGTTTGATAGGAAGTCCAGACAAAACTCAATACGCATTCCTTTGTAATAAATCTTTAAAAAAACACTAGTATTTGAATATAAAGATGGTTATAGTGACAGTGTAGCGCAGGATGTGTTTAAGCAGGATTAGTTCGTGTTATTACTCATGTTCTTTTAACTGTGAATCACGAGTAACTATTTTATGTACAGAGCACGTCGGTTAGTTATAAAGTATAAATTATGATGGTCATGACTATATCGATAACGAATCACGAGCGCGTTTTGGCGAAAACCAAACAAGTAACAACAAATGTAAAATATTACTAACATCCAACAATAGATAGTGAGATTGATTCATCAGAAACCTATTTGACTTACCGGTATCTTTTCTTCATCCAGATCCACAGGATGACCCATAAAGCCTTCAACCACCCACGCATGACGTCTGAGTTCATCCATTTTTATACGCTTCTTGGGATCAACACATATCATTTGATTAAGAAGTTGTTTGCTAGTTTTGCTAAGACCATCAGGAACTGCAAACAAACCTTTCTGATTTTACATGATGTTAAGAATACTTCAACTTACACCAATTATTTGTGGGAGCTCTTCCGGTTTTGTAGGGTCAAACGGTAGACGACCACAAAGTAATGCGTAGAGAATGACACCCAAAGACCAAATATCTGCCTGGGAATAAACAAAACCTAGGTCTTTATAAACACACATAAGCGAGCAGAAAGTTCTTAAATGTCACTTTGGGACTAACGATTTACAGATGGTCTATGACCAAGATATTTTGAAGGACGAAGGCAAGTCATTTTTATGTGTAAACTGTATGGGAGAAAATCCAGTATCAAATAGTCTTGGTAGTTTTAATAAACAGTGAGATAATGGCGGTGATATGTTGCAGACACACCCGATTAATCGAACGTCTTTAACTAGGTTTAAGCTAGGGTAGCAGATTTAGGAAGACCTGAACTCCCTGAGTTTGATACTGACAACTCAGGATTAAGTGTATCCTTTGATGAAGCTGTTCTTTTGCAGTTGGCGCTAACGTAAACAATGAATAACGTTCGTAAGTAATGTATAGCGATGAATAGTGAAGTAGGTTAACTTAACAGTCATTTAATAATATAAATCTGACCAGTTAACTAGACTCAAAATAATTGTAATGTATAAAACTATGACGAAATGTAATAACCCAACTACGAAGAAATCATCTAATTACTTACAGCACTTCCTGAATACTCCTTGTTAGCCAAAACTTCTGGAGCTACGTAAGCAAATGATCCACAAAATGTGTTTAGCATTGAGAGGTTATGACCCTACAAATTGTACAAGACAGAATTACTTACCTTTGCACATAATCCAAAGTCAATTATTCTTACGTTCTGATCATTATCCAGCAGAATATTTTCCTTAAAAACTCAACTACACTATAAGACTTACTGGCTTTAGATCACGGTGAGCAAAGCCTCTACTATGAATATATCCTATGGCTGAAACAATCTGCCTAAATATGACGCGAGCTTCAACCTCAGACAAGTGCTCTTTCTGAAGTATATAATCAAACAACTCTCCACCAGGAAGATACTACCAAAAGTATAAGAATTAGGCGTCATTACTTCCAAAACAAGGTAATAGTGTGTCTGAGTCTCCACAACTTGATATAACTTGTATATGTATTTGTGGTTAAGCTGTTTGAGAGCTTCTATTTCACCCTTGACTCGATATGCATCAGACTATATGGTTGGATAAATACGTTAACATTATTACCCCGAGCTTCCTCTTATCCAGTATTTTGATAGCAACCTTCTGTCGTGTAACTGCGTGAAGTGCAACGTACAAGACGCCAAATGATCCTTCGGCAAGAGGTTCACAAAACAGGTACAGCCCTTGGAGAGCTTTAGGAGCTACAAGTGCCATTCACCGAAGGAAACCAATGCGCGGTAACAACCTTCGTGCAGGTAGTCGAAAGTTAAGCCTGCCGCTTTGAACGGAAATTTTTACATTCCATTCTATTGAACGAAGTAACTCGCATACTAAAAATAAAGTGACATTTTTAACTAGTTATACGCTTAGTGAAAATGCATTAGTTTCGATAAAATATGTGGCTCATCAACTCTTACTTCAGTGGTCCCTGTGATGTTTTCGGTCTTTAGTAATAAGTATAGAAAGTCTATTGACATATATTATTCCTTGCAGTTTGTAACACTGTGGAGGTCCAATCTCGTTTTGTATATATCAACAGGAATTGCTGATATTACGTGTTCTGGTAGAGAATTCCAGTTATTCACCACTTGGTGCGAGAAACGAGACTCCAGACGTAGACTATTTAATCTCGGTTTTTGAAATTCCTCAGAATATCTTCTCAAATGATCGGTCCTAGACGGGAGGAAAAGTTAAGACATATTAATACCAGGGTAATCTTTCGGTATGAGACGAGCCAATATTCGATCGCCCCATATTCTAGGTAAGATAACGAAAATAAGTTGAGGTGTTTCAGTCTGTCTTCGTAATATAGGCCAAGGAGACGATTTACCATTTTAGTCCCTCGTCGTTGGACTCGCTCACACTTGAAATGAGGACCCGCTGCCTGAATCCCATATTTCAAATGTCGTCGCACAAAAGTCGAGTATTATAATCTAGACATTTCTCCATCCAAATACTGAAAAGACCTTCGAATAGCCCATAATACTCTATAGCCGTTTACAGCAGCACCCTTACAGTTACTCGGAGTTTTGAGATCTCTATTTACTACTACTCCTAAATCTTTATCGTTTATTACCTTGGTTAACACGAATCCACGCATTGTGTAGTGATAAGAATCATATTTATCCAATTGCATCACCACACTCTTGTTAGATTTCACTTCCAGTGACTGTCTGTCCATCCATGCCACCAATGAATTGAGATAATCCTGTAACAGTATTCTACCTTACATACTGTGTATGGGTCTCCGAACTTTTATGTCATAGGCAAAGAGTAGAATGGATGACTTCGCTACAGTCGGTAATTCATTTACATAACGTAAAAAGAGAAGAGTACAGAGTATTGTGCCTCGGGGAACTCCTTTTTTGACAAGTTCGCACGTTGAAAGAGCGCCTTTTACCCTTATTCTCTGTCTCCTGTCATGGAGAAAGTCACTTACCAAGTCTATGACTTAATAATATGTTCCAAAAGTCTCCAGTGTTAAAACCCGAATGGGAGTCCTTACCAAAGGCTTTACTTAGATCTATGAAGATTACATCTACGTGAATATTTCAATCTTTTGCTGCAGTCCAATCTTCTCTTACATGTATGTTGTTCCATGCATAGAAGATTATGCACGTAGATATAGTGTATAACAGCCATCCGAATAATCATTCCTACTAGTTTCATAACTGCACTGGTTAAATTAACGGGCCAATAGATACTAAGTCTCAACTCTCCGCCTTATACATCGGACTAATTATTGCGTCTTTTCAGTCTCTGGGGAGTATTTACTGCATCGTAGACATCAAACAGTATGGCTATATGCTCAGAATTTACATCTGACAAGACTTTCATAATCCTTGGGTGAATATCGTCAGGACCACTGGACTTATCAGGCCTGAGATGCTGAGGTAGTCTTAATGCAGAACCTTTCTCAGTAACTACATGATCCATTGGAAAGCAACCCCAATCACAACTAATCGTTGATCGTTCCTCATTGCTGATAGAAAACGCTTTACTAAAATATTTCGATCAAGCTTCAGCTTTTTCTTCATCGTCTCATGTAAATATTAACAGATTTTCTTGTACTGAAAGTGATGGGGTTTCATCACATCCCTAAGTTCGCCTTTTTATATACAAGAATAACAGTTTCGTACAATTCTTACAATCCCTAACCTATCTTTTTTTCATACGACCGTCTAGTCTCACTCATTAACGCTTTACAAGCATTCCTAGTTCTACAATGACTGGATCTGTAGTGTTTTCAGCCAGTGGAGATGAATATATTCCAGTGCTTTTTCTTACGTCTAAGAAGTTCCTCTGCCCGTTTAGTTATCCATGGTGGACATTTATTCGGTTTACGTGATACCAGGCATGGTATAAACGAGGACGTAACTGAACTAAGCTTGCCTTCAAATATGAACCATTTCGCCTAAGCTTTTGATGAGGGCAGAAATATATCTTATTAATTTGCTGCCGATATACTTGTCAGTCTTATATCAAAATGAGTGACTAATTAGGGTTAGGGTGCACTTTATATTTCTTCTGACCACATAATGTCATAAGAGAGGGCCCCAAAGTTCAGTTCTGAGAATTTTTCCGATTTTAATTCGTTTAGATAACTTTCTTTAGTCACAACCTGAAATTTATCAGTTTTCACCTACGATTTTACATTCTTTAGGACAGTTTGAGACCAAGATGATTGGCCAGCACATCAGGAGGACCTGACTGGACTTCAAAATTGGTTTTTCTATTGACCGAAGTTCAACCATTTTAAGTATATCGTAGTCCATTTGTGACGTACTGAAAGCCACGACTTAGAGGATTCTCATCTAGAATGGTCATCAAATTAAGAAGACTCAGATGTATTGGTAGCTTATGATCAAAACTTATATGTTAAACGTGATAAAAGTGCTATTAGAATAAACACTCCATTGAAAGATATGAAACACCTTATGGTGTAGCGATAAACAAATACCCAAAATCAATAGCTCCGTAAGTGTTTGACATTGGATACTGACCACATTAGTTTTCATGAACTCACCTAGCTGAAGGCGCCTGGTTATGTATCCACACCAGATCACGAATGGGAACGCAATGTTCAACTTCTCCTGAGATCACATGCTAGTTTATGTCAGCCAGTTCTCGACATATTGATAATCTATTAAATATATCCTCCAACTTCCTCGCTTCTGACTTTTGATTTCACTGGGTAGGCATGACTCAATTACAGAAGGTGTTGCTGGTAGTGTTGTCAAACTATAATACCTGTGGCATCTTCAATGAGTATTATTATTATTATTATTATTCACAAATATCTTATGGGTACATAAATGCTGTGAAGAATCCATTTCGGATTTCTTCAAAAATGCAATAATGCATAATTTTCAATGATGTTAGCATTACATTTGCCATGTTTGAGAAAGGAAGGAAAAGAAAAATAAAATATTAGTAATAGAATAGTAATGATAAATCAGGTTCTGTGTAATTAACAAGAATTTCGAATTGATTTTGAAGGAGGAAAGGAAGAAACTAAGGAAATAGAAACAAAAGAGACGCGGAATACGTAAATATTTTAACGCAGAACAAGAATAAACAACTATGTATGTATAGCAAACGAGTAATAAAAATAAATAAAACAGACTAAATTAATAAGTAAATGACTTATTATTGAGGTAAGATATGACGTTAGAATAAGTGTTTGTGCGTGCAGACATAGTTTTGGGTGATGCTATGAAAGTTTCGATTAAGTGCAAATGATAATCAATGTGTATGAGGTGTATATACATTAGTGAAGATAAAACGAGTCTGACAAGTTGAATTCATAGTAACTCAAGTTATTGTCTTAATCCAAAGCTTCGTAATCTTAAGAATAATATTTATTTAGAAAAAAAAAGGGAGAGAGAGAAAAGAAATGAACACATAGTGAAAGGGTTCAACCATGATAATAATAGTGTAATGGATATAGACTTTTGAGATAAACGAATAATTTTTAAAGAAAAATAAATAAATAAGGAAAATCATAAAAAAATATAAATAAATAAATAATAACAATAATAATAAACCTTTGCTGCACTCGGATAAATACGTGTAGATTTATGTAACAGTATACAGAGTGAAACCGAGTATTAGTATAAACACTAGTGCAATAATAATTTAGAATGATGCTATCATAGTCACAATTAATTGCAAAGGATAATCAAATATAAATATCTATATGTTAGATATATACATATATGTTGGGAAGATTTAAAAAAATCTGAGACTATATTTGTTTAAATGTAACATAGGTTTTTTTTGTTTTTAATTGTAGACTTTGGATGTTTAGGAATAAAATATGTTTAGAAGGACAAGAAGAGATGAAAACAATATCTGATGTGTCGAGGTACCAATAATGATACGAATGACAGTAGTTTGACAAACCAATTTTTATCAATTTCATTAGACACCACTAGACACCGTTTTCACTCTTATCCTAAAAGGACATAAATACTTTGTATTTCATCCTAAGGTGCGTCGCAAAGCCAGTTCGGGGACCTAAATTCATGCCTTACGAGGAACTCTCAGAATCACTGAGCTCTTACTATTCAGAATATAGGCCCCCCAGAGGCAGTCTTCAGGTGAATTACAGCGTCCACAACACCTTTGATGGCCCAACAGAAGAACTACTGATCTCCACATTTTGCTAAAATGTTTTATCTGCAAACAAGTAGTTGTGATTCATGATTGCTAGGTCATAACCTGCTATTTTCTCATCTTTGGCAACTCACTTTCTTATTTTGGCGTCATAAAAATAAGGCAGTATCAAGAATAACAAACAGAAGTTTACTAGCATAAAGAATAAATTATAGTCGGCATGGTAATATACAATAATCAGAAGTATTTGAATTGTAGTATAAACTAGTAATCCCAGGAATAACGCAATTTAATCAAGAAGAACAAGAGGAGCACAAACGAATGTATTGTATTTGGAATTCAAAATTACAACAGTCATCAATACCAAGAAGTCATTGATTTATTTAAACACCACAACCGCCACAGCTCGAATTGGAGTGTAAGTGTCTGTAATCGATTGTTCGTCTTCTTCTTAAGTTCATCTTACATCGGTCCGAAAGTGTATTGGATGTAGACTCTGTATTATCTAGAATGCACTCATTAGTATTAGAATTAACAACCAAAATTGGAACAGACTCACCTGGGTTCTAGAATTGTATACAATCAGCATGCCGGCTTTGAAGTGAAATCATTGATATTTAGAATTTGCATCATGGACTTTCCAACAATATCCTCCCCCGCGAAATAATGTTGGGTCCTTACTTCGCAATGTTTTAGCCAATATGACGTTCCCAATTTG